CTATAGGAAGAACAAAAAAAAAAAAAAATATTCAGAAATAAATTTATTATATTCTTTTAATACGGCTAGGTAAGAGTGTGTTAAGGATAGATAGTAGAAATCGAAATATACAACTAAAAATTTTAGGTAACAATTCTTGATAATAGTCTCATAAATTATAGTTTAATGACTAAACACTGGAATTATTTACACTAAAAAGGAGCAAAATATATAAAATAACAATGATAAAAATATGCAGTATAAACACAGGTTAGGTGCAGGCCTGAACTGACAAGATACCGGCCTATTATTCTCAGTATTTTCAGTAAGCAGGCAATCCATAGATACAATATAAACAAGATATTACTTTTTTTAGCTCATTTATTGTTTAAAAAACTCAAGTATTTTATTACAAAATTGAGGCATGCGGCCTACTGTGTTGAAAAACAGTAGCACAGCTTCCTAGTCTGGGCCTGGTTAGGTGGTATAAGTATAAAAAAAATTATATAAAATTTAAATTTTTATATAACAAGACAAGTAAACAAGGTCCAATCAAAGGTCTATAAAATTCTAAGATAGCTAAGTAATTATGTCTTTTTTTTTATACCAATAAAGACAAAAAAAAACAATATTTTTACTAAATTAATAATAATTTTTTTTTTTGATTATCAAAAATTATTTAGAGAGAATTTCAAATTAATTATTGATCGACATATTAATTCTCACTTTTAATGTAAAGAAGAAAAAGGAAATTATTTATTTATTTATTAGAATATAAAGTATAAAAAATATATGCTCTACAAAACAAAATATGCCTTAGTTCTTCAAGTATGTATCAATATGCAAAATAAAATTTAATCAATAAAATTAAATTGATTTAAAATATTCAGATTATAACGAATTGCGCATAAACACACAATATGAATAATATGCTAATACATAATATCTAAAATCCTAGTCTCTAACTTATGACATTAAACACAATGATAGATGTTTTAGGTTTAAATTTATCATTTTAATCAAATAATGAATGTAAATACTTAATAATCAAATTATCCAAGTCTAGTATTTAGACTGTATAGTTTATAAAGTTTTTTAAGTGATTAAAACTATTTTCTTAAAAACGTCTTATACTTGTTACACTAGACACTAGAGTATCCAACTTGCAATACATGATACCTATACCTCGTTTATGTGTATCCATTTATTTGAATTAACTTGATCTGTATTGAATCAATTCGTAAAAAGGTACAATTATGCATGCATGTCTAATACCATATTAGTATAATACACTTCCACCAAACCAGTTTACGTTGCAACGTTAACATGCACAGTTTAAACCGATTTATCTTAATTCGAATTAATAATTAATTAGTTTTATTATCACTTCGTCGCAATCCTGATTTGGTTGTTATAATTTATACTAGTGTGATCCGTTTACATGCATTTTGTACATCCGTAGTTATTTCCAATGCGCATTTTAAATGTGAATTAACTAAACCGTTTTAGGTAAACCGAATTAACGGCCGCTTACATGCATTTAACTCCGGAAGTTAACTAATTCGAATTGAGTTAAATCAGTTTTAACTGCAAGTACATGTAAACATAATACTACATTCACATACAATACATAGAAATGTATAAACACCACACCTAAAATTGTATCTATAAATTCTAACCTCTGATACAATTTTAACTTACTTATTATACAGCCTATTCTTAAGAATTAATAGTTAAGTTAAACAGATTTAAAATAACAACTGTAGGATTAACTATATATATATAATATAATTCAGAAAACATGCATTCTATAATTTATACGAGTTATATTCATAAATACATAGTAAATTTGAACTCGCCTAGTTCACTAAAAATGTTCATCAACCGTACATTGATTTGTTTTTGTTACATAATTACAATTAATGATATTAGAAATTTAGAAATAAAAAAAAATAAATAACTATGTCTGCTATGGTATAAAATATAAATATTGTTTCTACTTGATAAGATAATAAGTAAATAATTATCTTTTTGGATAACGTTAGTGCTTTATATTATTAATGGATAACGGATTAATAAAACATTACGGTTTATTGCTCAAATAGCAAATCGATTAATCGGTAAATAGGTAATAACTGAAACTTAAAAAGGTAATTGAAATTTGGATATATCATTATTATACAGATTCTTAGAGTTGGAGCTTTGATTTAAAAATAGCATTTTATTATGATGGTAAAAACCACGATATCTGTTTGGTATAAAATGTGGCTTACGCTTGATCACAGGGTACGTAGAAATCCACTGCCCTGAAAGATAAAGTCGCGTCATCCTTATGGAAACGAAACAATTTCCCGTGTTGACCACTTTTTGCAGGAGCGCTACTGGTTTAACGTTTTTGAGATTATGCCGGTTATATTGTGTATGTTGGTAAATACTAAATAATGAAAAAAAGTGCGTATTTACTATTTTGAATTGTGAATGTATTTAGTATTTATATGGTACAAAACATGTTATATATCGATCTCGTTTGAGAATTTCAGATTGAGGAATGAGGACCCCTGTTTTTCGAAAAAAAAATTGTTGCCATCATATTTGCCAGCGTCCACTTTTTATTCACCCGACTGTAGTTGTAATTTGTAAATATTAAACAAATAACAATTATCATTAATCATTACTCGTTAATCAACAATCGACATGACAATAATAAAGAATTAAAAACTATAAAACGTCATTAAACAGTTCTATTTATTAATTTATAAAATTTAAAATTTCTTAATCTTAATAACGCCTAACCAGCAGCGCTCCAAAATAAAGTGATCATAAATTATTACTTGGGTCTTCCTAGGGAAGGGAATAGTCGAATTTCAACTTCAAAAGCCGTCTACATGGCTACATAGCAATTAATCTATTGACTATAATGAATTTTTTTAAATTGTAGTCATGGAACATCACAACCGGTAATAATAATTAGTATTTAAACATTAAACCTATAATTTAACTGCAGCTTTACCCCTTTACATCGTTGATTAAATGATTAAATTTAATTTTGATGATTAAAAAAAAATTATTTTGGTGCTTATGCTTGTTCAAATAAAATAATACACCATTATAATCTATATAATATATCATGAATAAGTTTATAATTAAATAAATATAAGATACAAGATATACGTTAGGTATGTAACTAGGTCCTGGTGTTTTGGTAGTGAGAAGAATCAGGGAACGGCATCACCAAAGCTCCTAAATAACAATCATTATTTAATATCATGTTTAGTAAACATTATTTAATTTCACACATTTTAAATATTATTCAACGCACAAGGCGTATTATATAAGTAGGTGTCAAGAGTAGATATTCTATTTTCCTATCGCAGGGATGGGCAACTCACAGTTATTAGAGCCTAGAGGACCAATGTTTATTAATTTAAAACTCTAGCGGGCTAGAGAGCACAGAAAGCAACAACAAAAAAAAAGGGTCATTAAAATGTATTATTCTTTAACAATTACAAGATATTTTATTGTGAGCTTTAAGAATGTATAGCTACGGATTATAATTCAACAAAATTAAGTGATAAATAATTATTCTAAAATGTACCTGATTTAGTTTTATATTTCAGAGGTATATATTATTATTGAATTAAATCAATAATACAATATATATCATAAAACAAACAAGAATGAATAAAAAGTTCAAAATGTGTATGACAACATCAATATTTAATAATATATAGATTAACCGACAAAATATCCAACACCCATTCTTAATTGATAATTGACAGGAGAAAAAATAGTAATCAATGGAAATATAAATGGCATAGGGTATAGACGTTTTTCCAGTGTCGTGCTTACATTCCACATTCTATTTATGCTAGGTACCTAAAAACAAAAAAAAAGGTTAATTAATTTTGGTTGAAAAACGTAATAATTAAACTAAGTAATCAATACAATAATCATTAAAATATTTTTTCTGAAAAGTAAACTTCACATTCGGAGAATCATCAATAGATAATATCTTTTATAATAAATAACTCTCTGCAATGATTATTAATACAATTAATCTATTATAGGATCATTTTTTTGTTTATGATTGATGTGTTATTATTTCTTATTTTAAATATTTTAAAAGATTTATCCATTTGACTTGAATTTTGCATAAAGATATTGAGTGTAACAATATTGAACATTTGATAAAATAAATGTAGGATTCAACTCTAAATCCCATTTAAATTCTTTGACTAATTTATCACTATTCATTTCTAATAAATAAATCTAAAAAAAACATTTTCTTATCATATATATTTATATTTCATACATTTATCAATTATTTAATTTCATAATAATTATTACTTGAGCTCAGTGGTGAAATACTTCAGAATAGTTTGAATCACTATTTTCAGCTTCTTTTAAATTTTTAGAAGGTTTTTCTATTTGTTCTTGTTGATGAAAAACAAATGATCTTTTAATAAAATAATTAATCACCAACTATTAGCAAATAACATAACATTAGTGTAATATTTTAAATAATTAATAGTTATAAAAATATAAATCAGTGAGTTACATTATTATATCGTATTTAATATTTTAAGCTATTTTGTTCTTAAAAAAAAAATAAAAAGTAACTTATACTCTATACTAAATCATCTGTTTTTACGATTTTTTTTTTTTTTTTAAGAACAACATTATAGGTTTATGCGCTTGTTAAAGAAACTTTTAGTACCTAGGCGTACATATTAAAATATAGTAAATAATAAAAATAATAACAATTATAATTACCTACATTTAATTTACGCTTACGCTACACGTTATTAAGAAATTATTAATATTGCATCATGTATGTATAAACTATAAACTATAATAATTATTGACGAACTACATCCCGGTGGCGCGATCTGTGATGAATAAAATGTGTAAACGCGACCTTACCGCAGTCAACCAATGAAAATATGCTGCAACGAATAACCTGTTTATTTAAAATCGTATTTAACAAATTAAGATAGTACTATCGGTAAATGTGCTCGAAACGATTTCCTTTACTCGAACACTCGATGATGATAAATGATAATAATTAATAATATTATAATAATAATAATGACATAATGTAATTTCCATCAGCTATTGAACTCAGTCCGTTCTCTGAGCTCTGTGTACTCTGTAGCCTTGTAGTACTCCACACCTGAGTGAAAACACAACCTCCTAATTTCAAACTGGTATGTACTATTCAAATTTTTTTTCGTTTAAAGTTTTTATTTTAATTAACAATGTCATCATGGGTGTACGAAAATATAATATTCAAGGAGAAAACAATAATAATAATGTGTATAGGTAGTTAGTAAAAGTTAATGTTTTCAAACTGTTTGTAAATTATGTACTTTTATTAAATTTTAATGTCCACAGATAATTGAGTTATTCTGCAATGGAGGAAAAAGAAAATCCAAATAGCATAAAGCTTCCTGATACTTTGGAAGTTTTCAGGAATTTGAAAAATGCCAAACAATTTGCAATAGACATTGGTATGTTATACATTCAATAAAAAAACAAATTTTGAATTTTTATTTACACCTACATTTTTCCAAAAATGACATATTTTTGTTCGTTTTCATTTGTTTTTTAGTTATCAAAGCAACTTATTACCTACCTGTTACATTTTACATTATTAGTGTTATGTAATAGTCATGTACTCATGTAGTAAATATGAGTTACTTGCTAACATATTAGTTATTGATGGTTTTTAAGTTAATTATAATAAATATATTACATTATTAAACTAATTTTGTAAAAACGTGGCTTTGTGTAAGCTTGATTTAAATGTTATCAGTCAACAAATATACAACAACAAAATAGATTAAACTTAACACGTATAACTGTATTTCTAAAGCAGTTATATCAAATATGCTAAAATGTCAAGTGTTGAGTTCATTCTTTAAATTATTTAAATTAATTTATTTAGTGATGCCTTATAATAAATAATTAGTTGTTAATATTTATCTCAAATTTAGTAACCTAATATTATTTTTTAATTATGTATTGTAAAATGATTATTTAAATATTTTAAAATTATTATATATTCAAGCAATTATAATACATTTTAGATATCAGTACTTTAATTAGTAGTATGTTTTAATTCAACATTTAATATCTATAAGCAATATTTCTACATGATATATGTATAGTAAAAGAGTAAATATTTTTTATTATATTTGAGGTTGTATTTTATTGCATCATAATTAAAATAATTTGTTAATGGTCTGTTGCGATAACATATGTGCTTAGTTTTAAGAAGAAATTTACCTAACTTACAAAGATTATTAACTTATTTTAAAATTCTAATGATATATAATCTAAAATTTTCCATTTCTAAATATGATATTTAATTTTAAATTGAATTTAAAGTATAAACTATTACATATTTAATAATATTATATTTATTTATAGATCTACAAACCATAATGATAGATTTATACTATTCATACTTTAAACCTTATATTTATGGACTGTTTATTTTTACTCAAATTATTCTTTAGGGTCTGAAATTATATTACATTTTAGTTATTAATCACTTGTTTGCCAATGTTAGTTATGTTTCTAAAGTATTATTATAATATTTTCTATCTTACATTCTTACCTTTTTCAACAATACAATTAGTTTTATTTCCGCATACCAATAAGATTAATATTGAAAATTTATTTTATTTATTTATCAACTCATAATGTTATAAATATTAATTTAGAATTAATATGTATATACTATTTTTGTTTTAGGTGGTTCGCTTACAAAAATAGCATATTATTCAACGGTATCGTTCAGACGAGTTTATTATGCAACTGATAACTTAGACAAAAATGATGACAATAACAAGGATGACGTATGATATATTGTAAATAATTACTTTGATTAAATGTTAATTAAACTAAATATTCACACTAATATCTTCTAGAAATGTGATAAGTTTGTTTACACTTATTCTGAACAAGCAAGGTTACATTTTGTCAAGTTTGAAACAAAATATATTGAAAACTGTTTGGATTTCATTGGTGACAATTTAGTTAACAGCGATGAACGAAAAGGAAAAAGTATTAAAGCTACAGGAGGTGGGGCATACAAGTATAGCAAACTCATTCAAGACAAATTGGGATTAAAGTGTGTATTATTATCATTTGTCAAATATCTTTTAATTTATGTTAACATCTTATGTAAATTTCAGAGTAGATAAAGAAGATGAGCTAACTTGTTTAATTACTGGGTGTAATTTCTTATTAAAAAATATAAGCGATGAAGCGTTTGTTTACAACAGGAATGGTAGTCCAGAATATGAATTTCAAACAGCAGATCCACATGTATTTCCTTACATGTTGGTTAACATTGGTTCAGGTGTAAGTATTTTAAAAGTGGAGTCAGATAATTGTTACGAGCGTATTGGTGGTACAGCTACTGGAGGTGGCACATTCTGGGGCCTTGGTACACTTTTAACTAAAGCCAAATCATTTGATGAATTACTTGATCTTGCTGAAAAAGGAGATCATAGAAAGGCTGATATGCTTGTAAAGGATATATATGGCGGAGATTACGAAACCCTTGGTATGCATTCAGATTTAATTGCTTCTTCTTTTGGAAAAATATGTCCTCGTCAAAACTCAGGTATAACATAAAGATTAACTATGCTTTCTTTTCTTATATTTATTTTTTGTGCTTTCAGAAAGTGATTATAATGAAGCAGATTTGGCGAGAAGTTTACTGTTTGCAATTAGTAACGACATTGGTCAAATTGCTTGTTTATATGCAATGATGCATAATTTGAAAAAGGTTATTAGCAATTAAATTCATACATACCATATAAATTATAATAAATAAATAATTGTATTCACGATCTTTATCAAATATTTTTAGGTGTATTTTGGTGGTTATTTTTTAAGAAATCGTTCACTCAGTATGCATACTATATCATTTTCTATTAAGTATTGGTCTAGAGGAACTGTGCAAAGTTTGTTTTTGAGACATGAAGGATATTTAGGAGCAATAGGGGCATTTTTAAAAGGAACTGAAGAATGCGGTAATGCTTTCTGTTTTAGTATAGTTATGACTTTTATTTGTAATATAAATATTTGAATCTTTAAAAATTATTTACAGATAGCGACAAGTTTTCTTGGTTAGAAAATTATGCTGGTAGTGGAAGTAATCGTACTCAATTGACATTCGGTAAGCGAGTTGACCAACTCGAACTTGATCGTTGGGAATCGCCTTTAACATTTTGCCCATTGCTCAAAGATCCATCTAGTTATATTCCAGATACAGTTGATTTGAATTCGGATAAAGAAGCTAGGTTAGTGTTATTTTAGAAATGATTTAATCTTTTATCATAATTGATAGTTTCATAAAAAGTCTATATCAATTTAAATTATAGATATAATTTAGGGACTTAACTTAATACTTGTTAATTATAAAGGATTAATTTAAAAACAATTTCAGAGAATATTGGTTAAATTGTTTTGAAGAAAGTATAGAAAATTATGTTAATTATGCAATTGCAAGTCAACCATCAAGTGATACAACTGAAAAACGAGCTGCCATGTTCAAAGAGAAATTTATTTCTCGGGTGCAACTGCTTAAAATAAAACCTTTGTATGTTTTTATTATTTATATTTTATTTTTTTAAATTATATTTTTTTATACTATTTAGTGCTTATGGTAATTTGACTGTGAGAGGTCTTCTTGATACAATCAATCAATGTCTTAAAGAATTTGATTTTCCTGATCCATATTTAACTGTAAGATTTTATTACTTTTAACATAATTAACATTTATACAAATAATACATATTTCAGCAAAAACGAACAGAAAATGAATATGCGTTAACATGTCTTCAAGAACGATTAGAAGAATTGGATTCTTTAGATCTAAGAGAAAGACAAAAAGAAATAATCATGGGTGTCTTAGCAGGAAATACTTTTGATTGGGGTGCTAAGGAAACTGTAGTTTTAATGAAAACTGGTGAATTTGATTTTAAACAAGCAAGGAACCGAATTCCTGGTAAGAATTCATAGACAACAAAAAAAAATTGAAAAAAGTTAGATTTATTTGGAATAATTTTGTTTTTTTGTACTATTTATAGCCAGACCTTGGTTAATTGACAGTCTTGATAATTGGGTTGAAAGAATATGCAACGAGCCATATAAAAAAATTGCAATTTTCATTGATAACAGTGGTATTGATATAGTTTTGGGAATACTACCATTAGCTAGAGAAATGCTACGTCAAGGCTCAAGATTAATACTTTGTGCCAACTCCGCTCCTGCACTAAACGATGTCACTCATTCAGAACTTGTTGTATTGTTACGCCAAGCTGCGGCTATTTGTCCTATTATTTCTAAAGGATTAGATGAAGGCAGATTGAAATCAATGGAGACAGCTCAAGGTGGGCCATGTTTAGATCTCAGGTAAGAAATAAATTGTAAATACAGTAGAACCTCGATTATCCGTGACTCGATTAACCGTGCCCACTCTTCCAAAAATTTATTGTATGTATGCGTTTTCTTATATATATTTCTAATTACAATTAAATCAAAAATTTTTAAATTTCATTATTATAAAATTGTACCTATGTATTTCTAATTATAATTAAATAAAAAATTTCATTATTATAAAAAGTCTCGATTAACCATAATTTTCATTTATCTGTGTGTGACCCTCTCCCCATCATTACCCCTGATAATCGAGGTTCAACTGTACTAAATAAATATAACTTTATGATACTTATATTATGTTGTGCATGCCATGTAATTATATTGCATAAATAAAGCGATTAAGTTTTAAGATTCTATTGTTAATACTGTTATATAAAAGATTTAATATTATTTTGTTAGTCAAGTGATTGTACTGATAACTGAATTATGATCTATTTATTTAAAAATAAAATCATATGAATTAATTATTCTGTTTTCCAGTCGATTGGAACGAGAATTGGCAAATGAATTGACTACTGTGGATTTGATTATATTAGAAGGAATGGGTCGAGCTGTACACACCAACATAGATGCAGAATTTGTGTGTGATTGTTTCAAACTGGCTATAATAAAAAACCGTTGGTTAGCTAAACGTTTAGGTGGTGACATGTTTTCAGTAGTGTGCAAATATGAAAGTGTTAATGTTTCAAAATAATTTTTAAAAAATTGGAAAAAAAATTTATATTAATTATTTTTATTAATTACTAAGATTACTATATTATTATGATAATCACATGGTATAAGTTACGCATATTGTGGTATTTGGTTAAAATTAATTATTATTGTTTATTTTTTTTGACAAATTGCATTTTTTTAATTTTGTACAGTTGTTATGTATTGTAATAGTAAATATTTATTTTATACATTAATTGACATTCAGCTCTATGGGAACTGGCCTAAGCGACAAAAGTGCTGATGATGCAGCTTTCAGTCCCATAGCAACACATTCATCTTGTGATTTTCCTTGTAAGACTCCAGATATGTATCCCGCACACAAACTGAAAATACAAAAAATAAAAATATTTAAGAATTTTATAAAATTTTATGTGTCATATATTATGTATTTTTTTTTTTTTTTTTTTTTTTTTTTTTATCAATAAATAAGCAGAATGTATTTTATAACTGTTGTTTTTGATGTTTTTATATTGTTATAAAATAAGTTGCCATGTACTATTTTACTAAGAATTGTACTTAATAAATGTATGTTATCTAATCAAAGTCTTAAACATTTAAATTATAATTTAATTGATTTTTATTTGAATGTTACCTAACTTCCTAGCCTTGCTTATCATAAAATTATAAAAATATAAAAATAAAGTATTGTCAGAATCTAATCCATTTTTAAATATGAATTTAGTATATTGAATGATTGTCTATAATTGTAAATGTATGCTATAATAAGGAAGCCCAAAATGTATTGACTACAACTTTAAGTCTTGAGGTCAATGAATTATTAATTTTAATAATGTTTTCAAACCAATACTATTATTATTATCTAGTAGACTGCTTATATAAATAACCAATAATAACTCGCAATATAAAGCAAAATTAATCGCAAATATGTAATACTCAATAATAGATACCCATCTACTGATATTTCAATGTAAGCAAATAATAGCAGTGTGGTATGCAAAGAATGTCAATAATAGAGCTTAAAAATAGTGTGTTTTCAATAATTTGTTTGGCTTCATATAGTTGATATTTAATGACCTACATATCTAATGAATAAAATGAATTTATGGTTTATACTACTAATACATTAAAAAAGTAATTTGTAAAATAATCAAATGTTTGTTGTGTGCAAATCCAAAAATTCTTAACATGATTAATTCCCTATTACCCGTTTCTGATAAACGTAGGGTGAATTTTAATAATTTATACTTTATAGATAATAAGTACAACTCTATTCCGCTTATATAAATATAAATTATCTACTTATAGACTTGTCATAGTACAGAACCAACTAACTATAACTATTAAATAAAAAAATAAACTATAGTTAGTAGTTTAATACCCTAAATATCTACAGATAGGTACCTATTCGTTCGGAATTAAATTTATACATATATATCAAAATTGGTGGATAACTTAATAAAAATCTTGAGTCAGATAAGTTATGTCAACAATAAGAACTTAAAATTAATAGTAAACAAATAATATATTCAACTCAACAAGTTTTAAGTTAATAAAGAAAATATATCATCTAACTTAAATTAGTAAAGGAGTTATCTAATTAATGTTTTTCTTTATTTTCGTTTGAGTCACACATAACAATATTAACTATAATACCTATAGATTGCTGTGCAAATACACATTTTTTTTTTAAATAATAACTAAATATTTTAATGAAAATCCTACATCTTATAACTAGCTATTATAGAGGTTTAGAAAAATGTATACAGATGAGTAGGTAGCACAACATATTTTAGTGTCAATTAAATTATTTTATTGAGAAACATTAATTTGATTATTTTTGTTTGAAATAGTTATTTAAAGCATGGTTAAACAATAATTAACTAATTAATAAGTATTAATAATTGCCGAGGTATATACATTATTAAGTAAACTTGATTTTAACTTTTAACTATTAATTTTTAAATGAACTGGAAAAATCTAAGTTATTAGGTTCAATGAATTTTTTGACGATTTAAGTCGTTAGTTAAGTAATTAAAAACGTTATAAAATGAATTAATCAGTTAAGTTTAAAAATTTTCTGAAAATTAACTTTTTAATTAGGTACTTACTTAATTTATTTTCACTATTGCATAAGTATCATTATATGTTTAGATTGTAAGTAGATACCTAAATGGTATATAAAAAATATATAGCTAGGTAATCTAAACCTTAAATATAATTAATAAATACCTATTATAAACATACATCATATAATAATAAGTTAATTATAAAATAAGTAATAAATAATAATACAATATAATTACTAACTAATCAACTATACTACTTATAGCTAAACGAATGCACGATTCGAGATATCGAGATCATCAAGGAACAAAGTTTATTAATATCTATTTATTTGTCAGACTGCCAAACAATTAAATTTTGCTTTTTAATAAACAATAATAAAAAAAAAAAGCGCCAACACACTGAACTGCAGTGAAAGGGATTATCCACTCACCAATGACGAGCGCGATTGAGTAGGTATTATATTTACAAAGGTATCTATATTGTTTCCGTGTGAAAATTTTTAAAAACCCTATTGGAAATCATATCCCCGTGGGCAGTTCTCGCTGTTCACCCACAATGAATAAACTTAATAAAGATATATTGATATTTTTGCAGAGAACAAACAATAAAATATAGTAGGTATAAAAATGTAACCGCCTAAAATATCACAATGTGCTGGGCATTGTGTTTGGGAAGTACCGAAATATTTTATATACTTTGTTCTCGGACCTCGAAGTACCTAGGTACCAGCTTACAATTTTATAATGGTTTCCACATACTGCTAATTGCCAACTGGTACCTAGGTATGTACCTGCGTACAACAGTAGGAAACAGTTAGGAACTAATCGTGCGCAGGGTTTTTTCGCGGAGGGATAAGGGTTATAAAAGAAAAATTAGTATTATAAAAAAGTATATCATAATATACATGAAGTATATTTAAAGTGTTCATTAATTAAAGTTTTTCGATCGAGCATTGTACTTTTTCAGGAGTCTTGGAGAAATCAATTTCCTTTTAATTGGATAAAACCGATACCTATAGCTAACCTAACCTAGATACGAAAAATAGTGATGAGGGGGATGAACTCATCAAACCCCGCCCGTTGCGCACGAGCCGGGTAGATAGGTACTACCTACCCGGATCGGCTAATAACAATGTCTAGCAAATTCAAGGAATATTTGAACAAAATTAGATTTGTCCAGATAGTACAAGGCACGACGGAATAATATAATCTGACATTTTGTCCACATTTACAACGCATTTATTATGTTTGCATTGTCCCGATTTATATTTTTGTTTCGTAATCGTATAGGGAAATGGTACATCATCGTAAAATACATTTTTTTTTTAAATTTATCCGGGTAATTTGAAAACGTCCGTAATATTAATAATAACAATAATAATAAAAGATCGTATGTTGTGTATATCGATTTAATTTATGTTAACCCAATAACCCTCAGAGATGCAACAAAATTGTCACAACTTCATAAGTAATTAACACACCATTACCTGCGTATTCCCTACTATAAACCGTTAATAAATTAGAGTTTTACTAAAACAAATGTATTATAATTATTAGTTATTAGTTATTACCATCGACAATCAATTTATTTAATAAGTAGGTATACGTATACCGATAAGTTTATTAATAATTATACCTTTCGATGTTATTTTGGGCATAAATATTGTTGATATTTATTGAAATATACGCATTTGGTTGGAGGTTAAATTCCTCTCCTCTGCATTGATATTATATGAAAGGGGAAACGACAATTCTTGTCCTTCATATAACTTAAAAGGACAGAGTGTAAGGTGGAAAAAGTAAAATTAAACATTGTTTTTTTTCAATTTGCATTCCTATTTTTTAAAAATTTAATTTCTACTTCCTCTAGTATAATATACATTAATACAAGTAATATATATACATGATGATGCACATTGTACATATTACACATGGTAAAATAATTTACCTTAAAAATATTATTAATTTATAGTTGTACCTTCTTAATTTATTTTGAGTAACTTTTTATAAACCATATTTCCTCGCTTATATTTTACTGGTAATAATACGAGTAAATTGTCTATTTTATAATAATCATACAATAATAATTCATATTATTAAATCTAATCTACAATTATTAGACCGTTGACTAACTTGCGCGACCAATATCCATTTTAAACTCCTTGCCTTAAACAACCGTTCTTGACAGCTATTACTCCTTCTCGAACATAAATAGGTATCTTAATCTCAAAAATAAACTCTTAAAATCAATTTTGACTTACGGTATGCAACTATGTATGAGAAGCTACTAAATCCACCATCATTAATAAAATCAAAATATTTCAACTAAAATTCCTTTGTCAAATAATTAACTCCATAAATATACCTTTATAGTTTATACCAACAGTACAAAATGTTGCCAGGGTATTTAACAAACGCCCACACTCAAATGTCCACAATTATTGTAAGATTCTAATCTCAGAATTGTCCTTCCACGTTATTTCTGGTGACCCCAGAAATTGCCTAAAACTAACTTTATGTCGTGACTAAATAATCGACTAACCCTTTTCATTTCATATCACAAAGTTCTATCACTGAAGGTTTCACACGCCCAAGCACCATTTGTCTCTTCATAATTTAAAATTTATTTATAATTAGCTGAATTATTAATTTAATTTATTTTAATTATTTATTTAATATAAGTCCTAAATAATTTGTGTTCGTTGTAAAAAGTTTCATTTTCAGATTGCATAACTACTAAATTAAGTAAAAACAGAACAAAAATATTATTAAATCATTTTACAATACCCCGGTGGCTCATAAATGAAAAAACACGCATTTTTGTAAAACCAACAAACATAATATATTTCCAAAAACTGAAAAAATAAAAATAAAATTGTTTTAAACAAATTGTATTTTATTGAGTATTTATTTTTTTATTTATTTATTTATTCATAAGTAATGTGTTTGATATAGTTGGGTGATAGAAGCGATTATTTTTAAACTTGAAATAGTTGAAACCAATGACTTGACACTTAAAAAACGAATCAAATTACAGTTCTGTTTATCCGAAAAATTTATTATCATTTTACTGCAACGTCGTTTTGAGTTTTACGCTGCTGTTATCCGAATATCTAAATAACCATTTCAAAATTTTAAAAATGAATTATTTTAAACGCCAGAGCAGTATTATCCGTTATACACCTATTCGCATCCCCAAAAATAATTTTTTTTTTTTTTCTTATGATATCGAGGACTGGAGGAGGAACCATGGTACCAGTACTTCTCCTCTAGTCCCCATCGTTTATTGTCAAAAC